TAATAATTGCTTTTAGCTATCACTCTGTATTTGATACCTTCATAAACGGGGCTGGCCTGAATACAGTATTACATATTATAGGAGAAATCCTGGAGATTTGATCAGGTGGGAGATATGATCCTAATACATAAATCCGTTTAAAATTTGCTTTGCTTTATTTTCACAAATAATATCTGAAAAGAATAGAATATCTTACAACCTGACTTGATCAGAATCAAGTCTGCCGAATTACCCCTACTAACACTAACTAGTTATCTACCTCTAATCAACGAAAAGCATTGTTTATATTGATTACCCCATGAGAAGTCTGTAACATTGGACAGTATTTATGTCTCATTAAATGAAAATGAATATATGATATTAACAATGAAGAAACAGATAGATTTTATTTACCTTACGTTAAGGATCGAACTGAATTAATTATTATTTGTGGTAAGCTTAGAGTTGTGATGATTGTCTCTCCTTGTCGATTCTGTGCACGGTTCAATAAGTTATGAGACTATAACCGAATAAATTTTACCCTTGCTTAGTTGATATTTTAAATGATCATATCTTATTTCACTATGGAACTATTTCATTTCTTGCACGTTTTTACAAACTTTGACAAAAAAGCACCTATTAGCTTATACAAAAAAAATTGACCTTTCTCAAGTAAATAAGTATAAAACGCTGAAAATTTGCACCCTTTAATTGACTACACAGATCTATACTAATAATATATTCATTTAATAAATAAACTCATAAGTAAGCACAATCCTATTTTACACCTTATTTTATAAATTTCAAACGTAAATATAATGGATCTACATATAACGCTACTTAATTTGCGAGACATTTTTATTACACATTTTTATCTTCTTGTTTATTTTATATTTGTTTGTTAGAACTGAGATTTTATCAATCATTAAATTTGGCCTGCCTAGACTAGCAGATTACGTTTGTCACATATAGAATTTGTTTTCATGTATATTATAAAACTTTAAAATCAACATTAAACCTGTATTGCTTGGTTTTTAAATATATTAATATTAAATATATATGTCGCAGAATATCTCCATCATCGTTACAAAGATCGTTTGATTTAGTTTCTTTTTTTTAATTGCTAGGTACGCGATTACTTAATTACTCGATTGTAGAGAGGGCGTGATCATCGATACTTTTATCGATGACTTTGACAGTTCGTTAACAAAAAGCAAGTTGCCGCCATTTTGACAGACATTCTGTTTCCAATCGTCGAAGAGTAAAGACATCCGATGACATCACGCTGATCTCGTTATATTTTCGTGTGAAAGTAATAAAACGGAATAACTCCACATTGGTATACACGCCTACAGTGTTATTTTAAAGATAGTCCTCCTATATATATATATATTAAGATATAAGTTTAGAAGCGTTTAGAAGCGTTAATTTCAGTTTTCATTATCTTGAAAATTCTAGTTTTAACGAGGAATTTCTTCTTGAAAATAATTATACGACGGAGTTTAATTACCTGATAAAAATGGTTACTAATAATATTGTATGTTCATTTTATATTTGACTGTCCTTTTCCCGTGACTTCGTCTGCTTGTTATTTTGCGATAAAAGGTAAGCTCTGTCCTTTCTTAAGGTCATATTTGTAGTAAATTTCATCAAAAACGTTTCCATAGTTTAGGCGTACACACGTAATTCGCATTTATTATAATAAAAAAGTCTATCGTAAAACGTAAAAATATCTATGCCTAAATCAGGTTAGTAAATATGTCTTTTGATCATCAAATTGATAGCATTTATACACATTTTTTTATGTTCCGAAAGATATTTATTTACCGAATACTGAAATTAATACCTATCGGACCAATAATGGTTGATTCTGAATAAAATTTATTTACCTTTTGCAAATGAAGTGAAAATTTTATCTTGTCATGACGTTATATGACTGTAGTAAAATAAATTAAATCCTCTTTTCCATTACCATAAATTTAAGTGACAGAAAAACAGAATATGTAATAGTAGCAGCTCGTAAAGGCCGATCAAGGGATTGGGTTTTTTATATTTGCCTTATTCGGAGATATAAAATACGCTGTTTTCATATTACAATTTTACTTGTACGTAAATAAAATGACTATTATATAAAGGATGTTGAAAACAATCTTTCTCTTTTTAATTAATTTGTTTTTTTTTTTTTTCTTAGAGAAGGAAATATAATATAAAATACCGCTTTGCCATGCTATAATAATTTTGGGTAATCCAATATTATTTACCTATTAAAGTAAACTTTCAATATAACGTGTATTTTATAGTGCTCTTTACTATTCTATAATATTCGTAAATTCATACGAGATCACAGGTGTCAACTTGATGTCAATTTGATAAATTATCAATAACTTAAAAAAAAAATAAGTAAAATTTTGGAAAAATCAAATAACAATGAACGTATTTCACTTTGCTGCACTGAGCGCCCTCTCCCTTAATAGAAGAAGAGATGTTTGAGTGTCTAAGTCTAATACTTATAGTGTTAAGTATGTCGACGTAGAAATTTTTTTTTTTACGTTAAAAAGTATAATGTGCTGAAAAAAGGCATCAGTTTTCGATGGATTGAATTTACTTACCAAAATAACGTTATTTGCTGAATTTGTATTCACTTTTAAAAATTACCTTTGCTGTATCTTTGTATATAAATACTAAACTCTAGAACAATTGAACATATCTTTCATCTACTCAACACGTATTCTTTATCTTAAAACTTCTAAAGTTCCAATATTTCGCATAGTACGGAAAAAATGAAGGTCTAACTTAAGATAGACTCTGTTAAAAATAGTTAACAGTACAAATTACGTTGAGGTGATGTAGGTTTAGTATATATAATCTGTTACATATATTTACTTTATAAATCCTTTATAATGAAGGGTTCCCAGGGATAATGTTACGTCATATTATGATATCTTGACAGGTCAGGTTAAATTCTAACATGAAGGACAAAAGCTTTAAATTAATTTAACGCGGCTTCCTAATATCACAATAATTATTATCAATTAATTAATATCAATATAAACAATATTAATATTCATACGCTCAAAAGATTATTTTATAAATAAAACGTCGAAGCAGCATTGCCATGATATTTGGTATTGTCTCAATTGATATGGCAACACTGTGTTCGACGTCGTAGCAAAACCAGTAAAACGAACAATTGAATAAATAGTAGACACTTTAGTCATTGAAACACGTGGAAAATTTCTATGAGTGTTAAAGTGAAATAGATTTTCGGTTCCTATAATACAATTATCGGAAACATTTTTTTTATATAAGAAGGAACAATTATAGTATAATAGGTTAAGACTTGAATCTACAATCCTACTAATGTTATAAACTAACTAACCCGGCGAATTTAAAACACCAAATATTATTTTCTTTTTTATAAAGTTTCTTATATAAAATCCTTGTCCTGACAATAAGGGACAAATAAAACAAGAATCATCCAACTTGGTACATTTCGGCGTTCATTTTTATACGAGTATATAGATGTGAAAATTTGTGGATATGTATGATGTATTGTATCTTTGGTACAATTGGACGTAAAAACTGCTATATATGGATAATTTTAACCCTGAATTAATATATAGACTATATTATCGACAGCTTAACCGTAAACTGTAGAATAAATCAAAGAAAAATAGGCAGAATAAGGTATATTTTACAACACACTCATAATAGTTATTTAAGATACGAGTGTGGAAAGTAAGGTTTTACGAATAAGGGCCAAATTAAAAACATGAGCGCAGCGAGGGTTTTTATTGGCACGAATTCGAAAAACCTTTTACGCTCAAGTTTCTTACAACATTTTTCAATGCTTTTTGCAAGGAAATAAAACAAATATATAGGTTAATAAAACTAAGTATGTATTAAAGGTAAAAATTATTTCTTAAAATTAAACGTGATATTTGAACATGTTTTTTTTTTATAGGATAGGGGGCAGACGAGCAGACGGATCACCTGATGGTAAGTGATTACCGTGGCCCATGGATATCTGCAACACCAGAAGGGCTACAAACGCGCTGCCGGCCTTTGAGGGACGAATATGATCATAGGGAGAGAAGGGTTGAGGGGTAGAGGGAAGGGAATAGGGAGGGGTTGGGCCTCCGGTACCCTCACTCACACGACGAAACACAACGCAAGCGTTGCTTCACGTCGGTTTTCTGTGAGACCGTGGTATCACTCCGGTCGAGCCGGCCCATTCATGCCGACATTTCATACATTTTTATTTGAAAATATTCGTTCTAGGCTCCTTGAAATACTTTTGCCTCTAAAGTTTAACATATTTTCATCAATTTTTTTTTAAATTTCTTTGGTGCTCGGCCAAAAAAAATAAAAAAATACTTTTACGCACGTGTACAGTAAAGGTTTTCGTACATTTTTATTTAACACGTGTTTAAAGACTCACTTTCGGTGTTTACAATGGATTAAAAAAATAGCGCTTTATGAGCAACTGCATTGAAAAAATATATATAAAAATGCACATCTGAGAAACAGGCAAAGCTGTCGTCAACAGGTTACTTGCTTTGTATAATTTTTATCTCATTAAATAGTTTCCCATGAATAAATGTCCTGTCAAGTCATTTAATCATAATTTGATGTAGATTGTAATTTAATTTTTTTTTTTTGTTGATTCAATATAATTGCAACGGGTAAACGTTTACCCTTTTTAACATTAATGAGTCCTCAGTTAAGGGAGGTAAAGGAGGGTGTTGTGAGCAATTTGTTTTTTTAATGAATCTTAAATATGAATATAACAGTCTAATAAAGAAATAAAATGTACTGTCCGTATTTGGTTAGTGTTTTTAATTTTGAATTTCAGCTTTTCAATCATAAACCTCAATAAATAAAATAAATGAATGATTTCTTCTCATTAATAAAACAGCCCATGTTTTAGTAAACAATTTTTTTTTTAAATCGTATATATGTTAATCATTTACATATTTTGATGATTAGATATTTTCAATGTTTATTTTAGCAATACTTACTTCTAGTATTCGATGATAATTTTTGCAAGAATTTCTTCAACATCGATGTCGTAACATTTTTCTCGTCAAATGAATAGTTTATGTTCGGTGTGAGCGACTCGCCTTTCTTCTTGAACACCTCTAATACTGCGCTTAGCGTTAGAAAACAAGGACTGTTCCCCATTCCACTCGACGCGTCATTGTTATGAAACAGCATACCCAGCCGATGCCAATTGAACTCCTGAAACAAAAGACAATCTTCTTTAGAAAGTTAAAAAAGTTTTTAAATTTACACAGACCTCTTTAGGACTCCACGGTGACGTTAAAACAAATAGCATCTAACTCTTGTTCTGGCAGCTTAGATTCCTAGGCTACACCATTTAGAATTAAGAGGTAACTTATTCGATATAATATACAAGTATATAACTACGCTTCACCCTTAAGTCACCAATCTGTCGCTAAACTGTCCATATACCGAAATATAAAAATTTTAAGGTTTTGCCACACAGAGACAGTTGCTATATATTTGTATAAATTTAAGCTGCTAAATCAAGCTCGGATATTATACGGATGTGCAACTCAGCGTACTATTTGTGACCGACCAGCGTCCTATTTGTAGTTACACAATTAAGCCCTTATGGCGTCCTACTAATGAATTTTAAAAGCAACATAAACAAGACATCATAAGAGACTTTATGAATTGAAAAAAATATGTGATGAGTGCACATTATCATCGTATTCACATATGCAAACCTGGACATGTAGAATACAATATTGAGTGAATAATGATAAAATATGTCTCGTGCAATTGAACTTAGGTTTTCTAATGTATTATTGCAGCTATTGAAGTGAAATAGTGGTGTTGATTGAAAGTAAATTGGTGACTTCAGTTCTTTTAATAAGATGATTAACGCCTTTTTGAATTTCCTTAGATGTTATAAAACAAAACTATAGACCTTCACCTATGTTTAAAAGGTGATCTGGTTAAACACAGAACGAGGAAAATAGTGTATTGCTGAATATTTTATATGCTCATCGCTTTAACTATTCACTGTTCAGGACAGTGAAAATTCTCTTGTAAATCTTTTGTTTATAATTTAAATTAGAATAAAGGTGGTGTCAGAAATAACAAAATACAATTAAATACACACCTAGACAAAATGAGAAAAATGGAAACTTGTAATGTAAATAATACAAAATTAAAATTTTATAAGTAACTTGAAAGAAATTGTTCGCAAATTTAATACAGTTTGTTGTTTTTTCATTCATAAAATTCATAGGTAATTCATTAATAATTAATAATTGCTAAATGTGTAATGCACTACGCTTCATGGTTGTGCTCTGTAGTTCGCGTTAGCTCAAAAAGCAGTACCGGTTTAAATTTACTCAGCTCAGTTAGTGCTATAGCGCGGCGGGGTGTAATACTCATGCTTTGATCTAGATGCAAACGGACAGTGGAGTCCCTCAATACGGTTTAGGATGGAGAGATTGCGCAATAGGACATGTCCTGTCTTTGACAGGGGACAGCTTGGTACGTTCGCGCGATTATCGGGCATTACACGTCCCTTGTCTTATCTAGGGGATACGTCTCAAGTTTTACTCCCACCCACAGTGAGATCCACCCAGCAAGAGGTGGGAAATGGTTGCTAAGTGCACGTTAAGAGGCCTCGGCTGTAACCGCCATAGAGAGGGACATCGAAGGGTTTTAGTGCCTATGCTCTTGCATTTCGACTAGCCTGCTTTTAGGGGCGGGTCCACAGGAGAGAGCTCCCCATAACCTTGCTAACCCGCGCAGGGAAAGCAAAGTATGCAGTAATGCCTTTCCCATCATAATAAAAGGCATAAATGTACGGAAGATCCTTCGAGCGCAACACGAAAATTTGCGTTAATACGCCATGGATCATTTGTTAAATGTGCAATGTTCTGAGGGTCTACTATCTTTGTAAAAAAAAATTCATAAAGTCCTCATAATTTTGTTAAAATCATATCTGAGAAGCTTATCTGTGCATTAGAGGCTGTGTCAGGTCCTACCTCTGTTACGTCATAAATTTATCGAAAAATATGTTATGGAATTATGTAAACATTTCAAAAATATATGAAAATTCGTTTTTGGAGAAACAGAATTTCCTGCTTGACGTTGCGAAGGGTACGCTTCTTTTTGTGAAATATGCAGCGCTCTCGGATTTAAACTTATCAATCAAGATATCAAAATTTGACTTCAGTACTGTAACTTAGACAGAGTTATATAACCTGATGTGACCTATGAATTTTTCTATTGAAATTACGCAAATCAATTTGGGTGTTATCAAAATAAAATAAACAAATGTTTATACATTCGGATTAAAGTAATTTAAAACATTTGGACTCACGCGACAAAGAAATATTTGATACAATTTTTCTGGACAGACGAATATTAATTATATTCAGGTAATCCACAGAATATTCAGTATATAACATCCAGTCTAATTTACTGTTCGTTACAAATGAAAACAAAATAGTAGAAAAACATTGTTATTGAATGAGTTGTTTAAAATCAAATCTTTATGCCTTCATTTAATCTAGTTTAATCAGTTTATACTATTTTATTAATATTGATCGGGATTGATATTATCGGCGTCATCATAGTTTTTTTATTTCAAAAAAGTAATTCCTGATAGTTTAACATTAAACATAGATAAAAATAAATAAATGATTTTTAAATGAGAATAAAATTATACAGTATTTCTTGAAAATTAAATGTCAAATATGTAATATACAGAATTTTGTCATTCCCCTACTACCAATGTGAGCAATCAGAATTGTTACGTGACGGAAATTTGATTTCGGACCCCTATTGATATTAAAATTATTTGGGACCATTACATTTGGTTCCTTACATACGGGCTTACTTTATTTTACATTTTATTCAGGGTTGTGAAAATAAAGAATGATTAAAATAATTACATAGATTAATAATAAAACGATAAAAATAAAATTTGCTTAGAACACATTTAGAAATGCAATAGATTTGATCAAAGAAAATCGAAAGTATTACACATCCACACCATATAAAAAGAGTGAAAAATTTATTATTACGTGCAAAAACTACTTTACATTATTTTTGACATACAACAGCTACATAAAGTGTTAAATCAAATATCCAAAATATTAAGCTACATGAATACTAATATCATTCACAATTAAACGTAGAGAGAGTCAGAAAACGACTCCAATAGGCTCATATGTCTAAACTAATATTGGTGTAAAACATATTATATAAATAATACAAAATAAATAATAATACATATTAGATATCACATTCATTGTTCAGACTCCAATGTAAATATTAAGAATCAAAATTTGCTTTTAAATATAAACGCTGGAGTATTTTGCTTTGTAAGAACATACTTAGTAATCGAAATAATGGTCAAAGGAGAAAAATAGGTGATTCAAACACAAAAATCAATATTGAGTACCAGAGTCAGATCACGTACGCCATCAAATCATGAAATAGATTTGTTTATGAGGTAACGAACCATTTTGGTATCGTTTTTTATTATCCAAGTAGTGAAGTTTCTCAAAATAACAAATATGTAATGTTTCATTAATTTAACTAAACCATTAATGGAACCTAACCTATTGCGAATGAGTTTGGTATACAAAAAATAATCGTGCATAGAAAATAAAAATAAAAGACATGATAAATTTTGACAAAAAATTGGCTCAGACTTTTATATAAATATGTCCATTTATTTATTCTGCGGCTAGCGTGGACTGCGATTATCAAAAAAATTTTTTCATTTACGAATAATCCCTCAATTTATTCTGAGCACGATAGGTAATCATTATCAAATTGCGTATCTATTTCCATTTTAATACATAAACTGTGAAACATCTTTTGAATTTAAAGAGATCTTATTTTAGAAATAACGCAAGTATAAATTCCACGTAGAGAAAAAAGTGACAAAATATAATGTGCTAGGTAGCCAAAATAAAAATAAAAAAATCCAACAAAACTTTTTTAAGCGACACAAACAGCAGAACAGCAAGACCAGGTAAACAACAACACTAAAAGTTCGGCTTCAATTACCTCAAAAACCTTCCAGAGAGCTTCAGCAGCTTGTGCATAGCTGCCCATCATTCTCGTCAACGTAGCGTAATTTGGATATTTAAAGTTGAATGCGTGAGCTTGAGCACCAGCCGTTAAAATGGGAATACCCCAAGGTCCAGCGTATCTTGCGACTGGGGCTATCACGTATTCACAGCCTGGTCCAATGAAAGCATCTGAAAATGATGTCCCACTCAGTAAGCCATCCTAAGATAAAATACAGTCACAATCGAAATAATAATGCACATTTTTTTTTTATTCATTCTTACCTGCAGATCCGTTGATGTAAAACTCAAATGCAGCTAATGGTCCTTCCATGGAAGAACATGCTGTATCTCTATAATCTACTAATATTTTCCAACCAGGCAACGGTCCATCTGGCATAGTAACTGCTGGGATTGCCATTTCTACTATTGGTAATACTTTTACTAATGAGAATACTTGACTAGGTTCCGCTGGCAATAGTACACCCAGTTTCACTATTTTATCATGAAATCGATGTTTCTCTGGCCGCAAATTAAAATTAGTCTTCTTAATATGGAACGGGCTGGTAGCAAGATCATGTGGAAATCCCAAGGCTTTTGAATCATCGTATCCATCTTGACGGTGGGGAAAGTGATAAGGTTTTTCTGTGACTTTATAAATATCTTCTTTCTCTTCTGTGCTTTTATAAAAGTCATGATATTTATCAAACTCAGAACTATACTTTTTCGGTTTATTTTCATTGGAAGTAACAATTCTTTGAGATTCTCTACCTTTACGGTAATTTCGAGTATGCCATAATTTCTCATCATATCTATGTCCACGTAATAATTTTACTTTGTCTCTCAACGAATGCGCATATCGTGCATCTTTAAATGTTTTGACATTGACATCACTTAATCTAACATCACACATAATTATCACATTTAAAAATAATATATAGAAAACGAGGAATGAATATAACATTTGAGTTCTTAATTCTTTTGATGATACTTTTATTTTAATCTTGTATGCCTTAGCATTGTCCAGAGTCCTATTTGATTGCTGGGAATCATATTTTGTTTCTTCAGTTATTGTATATTTCTTCGGTCTGTGAGGCGTATTTGTTGAGATCAGTGGGAAGATCGCATTAACGATCTCTTTTTGCATTTTATTTTAATTAACTGTCATTTTAAACTCCACACTACATATTACATCTGTCACAAAGGATTAAAACTTTTTCATTTTGTTTTAAGCAATGATCGTTGTTTAGTATATTATATTACTACCTACCTATTTAATATATTGATTGTTATACTTTGGTTGCCTAAGTTATAAAATTTTATGTAGAACGCATATAGCAAGTGAAATTGTGTATTCCAAGAGCGTTTTCTCATTTTGAATGTTATTTGACAAGGAATTCCGAAGAGAATATATATTAGTTGCTCAAGAATTTTTGCTATGATAAGTACAGTTCCTTTTATATTAAACTTCTTAATAGGAAAATTTCTGAGAGGAAATGAATAATTTGTAGTGTACTTAATTTTATTTATTTTATTAATAACTACAAACCCTTTTACAACCAAGTCCATTAACCTATTGTATTTAAATATTTTGTTTTATTATATTCAATAACATAATGGCCACTTAATTAACAACAAACAAAAGGTTGTTGTCATGAATTTTCATTAGATCGTTAACCTTAATATCAAAATAGGATAGACACAAAAAAAATTATGAGTCGATCCATGACTTATCGCTATCCGAGAATAGTCGAATGACATCATAAAACTAAAGCTGTACCAAAATTAATGACATATTAATGATAGTTTCCAATATAGCTGACGGGTGACAATAGAATAACAAAACCAAATTAGAGTCCCTTCGTATTAAAACGAAACGTGTCTTGTAACATAATGTACGCAATTAGATCTATAAAAACAAGATGAATAAGGAAATAAATAAAAGAAAAACAATAAAGAATTTTAAAAGAGGAGCGTTTAATGAATTATTATATTTCATAATATAATAGTGAATGCCAATTTTATGAGTATGAAAGTGTGTAATCTACGAATTCACGGCACTTGATGAAAAATATCTAACCATTTTAAAAAGGCAGTCAACGTCACGTCATTAAAAAAAAAAATCTGTCAGATTCTTCCAATTAATTTCAAACCACAAACTGTTAGCGATAATGTTAAGATTTAATTGCGGTTTAAAATTTTTTTGTTAAAATTTAGCCTGATAAATCGATGTGAAATTATTGTGGATGGACATAGGCTAATCTATATAATGTTGCTTTATTAAATAATAAATAAGTGACCAATAAAATGTTTAAACCATATAACACTGATAATAAGGTTTATATTTTCCTGCCTAATGAATGGCTCAAGTTGAGTACCTTGGTGGCGTATATCGTTGTTGTTAAACAACATTCGCAGAGGTCGTTCACAGGATAGGTGACCAAAAATTATTATCTCGAGCTATTCCGCGCTCTGGAAAGCACATCAAGCCGTTTGTCCGGGCTGCATTTGCAATCATTAATACCCTCCAATCCGCATTGGGCCAGCGTGAAGGATCATGGCTCATCTTATTATATTATATAAGGAAACCGTGAGCCCCTGCAGTGGGGATGTAAAAGAGCTGATGATGAATGGCTCAGTTACACTGGTCGATGATATCTGCGTATGGCATGCGGACGAAATCTGTTCCTCGCTTTCATTGTTTTATTGACCAATGAAATGAACCCGCAGAGTTTGCCCACGCTCCGCGTACTTACCCAACCTAACATCCAATATAACTTAGCCATAAATATAGGCTGATTGGAATGTAAATTACCCTACGGTCATCTATAATAAATTAATGTATGAAGGATACGTAGGAATGCCATTAATACGTGTCGGTATCAGTTCTGATACTAACAGATTGTGTGTATGTAATATGATTACTGAAATCGATCACTAAGCTATTATTAACAAACATGAAATGGAACGTTATGGACTCTTGGAGAGTTTTGTTTTGCTCTTTTTGATCGTGATCGATAAAATACTGTTTATAAATAGATAAATCATTTGTATGTTAAGTGCGATATGTATAAACACATATCTAACACATATCTATATGTGTTTATACATATCGTCATCATTCTGGTGGTTAACAACGTAAAAGAAAATAGAGGAACGTAATCAAATATACAATGGAATCCCTTAAATGGAATATTGGAATAACTTCATATAATTATTATTCTTAAAAGAGGAAAAAATTGATAATGAGCACAAGTTTGGGATCAGTTAAAAGATTCACTTGGCCTATTTGCAACTGTATCATAATTTCTATAAGGAGTAATTAAAAAAATAATTTCAGTAAAATGTTAAAAAAAATAATAAAAAGACTTAATGAGAATAACAAATGACGATAATTATATAAATATTCGTTCAAATCCAAAAATGTTTAGAAAATGAATTAACGATATAATGGGTCCTCTCCATTGTGGGCTATGTTAGGCTGTTACCGCGTACCACCATGATTATAATCTTTGCGCCACTGTCCACACGATTGGCCATCCCACATGATAATTGCCATCTTAACTATATGGACGCCGAAACAAGATCCTTTTGGTATAATTATATAAACATAAATGGTTAATTTACAGATCTTTTTTGGCTACGACATTTTAGCATCGATTACAGGCAAAACAGCACGCGTCTGCTGGTTTCATAAATAAATACGAACTGAGTGATAGGCGATTGTGTGGACGCGCGCACGATCACGGCCAAAATTCTTTTGATGATTCTCCCAAAAACCGACACATACAACAGCCAACATAGATGATCATAGAAGAACATAACGAATATTGTCCTTATTTTATTAGAATTTGGTTTTGTATTACACCAACAGGTCGGTCTTCTATTTTTGTCAAACTTATGTACATAATCATTGCACTAAATCCGGCTAATGTCGTCGTAGAAATAAGTTACTTCAAAATTAGTTCTATTTTTTTAGAATATTGTTAATGTACAATGACTTATATCTATTGTAACTAAAGAAGCTATTCTGATATAAATACTTACTAAAACTGTCGTGCTACGCTAATCTGTTAAAAAGAGCCACGAACCCGACATTAAGAACTTGGGAGTTTAGCGTTATGACAGCATAGTTTCAATGAAATAAAACCTTCATCATTATCTTTTCAACTAGTTTGCATTTGATTGAATATATATGCTTTGACAGCGCTGTGCCCGATTTCAATATTATTTCCTTGTATAATTTTAGGGAAAGGTGTGTTAATGACCAAAATAGTAAGAACGGGCCATAACTCGCCACGCGGGGCCAATTCGGAGTGGCGAGTGTTAACAGTTGTAGATACAGCCGGGACTGCAGATAAAAATACAGCGGCAAACCAAAATTAGGTCACCCATCTTATGACTAACCATACAAAAATTGCTTAAGCACTGCATCGTAGACAAACCTCGCTAACCACTGTCCTATCGGGGTCTTCAAGCTATGTATTTATATAAAGTTATTCTAACGAAGTCGATATTCTCAATGAGGCGACAGCTCTTTAAGATTTACGTTTCCGACGCGTTCGCTGTTCTTAATTTATATTTTCGTTTTATTTTACCATTGAAAACAGAAGTTCATTTATATGCATTGGCTACGGATAGATGCTGGTTAAATAGATTTTTAGATAGATAGATAGATAGAATATTCTTTATTGCATACACAAAGTCAATATACACTTATATGACAAAAACAGGAGACGTAAAATTGGCGGCCTTATCACTAAAAGTGATTTCCTTCAGGCAACCTTTTTGCTCGTTGTATTTCTTCAAAAAAATAATAAAGGCAGGTGTCATGTCTATACGTAGAATTTTTACCCTATTTATTTTTTATTGTTGTGAAAATACTATAGAGTTATCAGATATAAATTTTTTATTAATGTAAAAGTTTTCTTATGTAATTAAGATCAAAAACTACAGAATGGGGCCACAAGAGAAAAGATATGATTCAATTGCTGTTTAAACATACGTAAAACGGAAGATATATTTTTATATTATCAACTACAAAAGTTGGAGATAAACCATACACAATAAAGTAAAACACATGCTTATTAAAATCAATTAAGTCCACCTATCCGTAAAATAGTTATTATTATCAAACGCAGCATAGAGATTCAATCGAATATAGCCTCATCAAATCTAATGAAGATATTTAATTGAAGCTTGAGACTAAATAAATATTTAGACACTAGAATAGTGCTTAGTTACACATAATTACCTACACGATTTTCTCTAGTACCTACAAACTTTCAACCTCCCATTCGATCTCCTTATAGGTATAATTTTCAAAAATAATGAAACAGACATTTATGCTTTTTAATCAGGAGCCCATAAAATGTTTCATATTCTAACTTTAAAAAGCAGTGGGCTTATTATTAATATATT